AGAAGTAGAGGGAGGAAAGGATGGAAGGAACAAGGCATGGAAGAAGACATGAGTGAGGAAGTAGAGGGGGGAGGGAAGGAAAGGAAGGAAGGAAGGGGAAAAAAGGGAAGGCAAAGGAGACGACTGAGGAAGTGCAGCGGAAGGAACGGAGGGCCCAAAGCCAGGAAGACAGGATTGGGAAGGAGAAAAGAAGGGAAGGGAGGAAGACGACGAGGAAGGAAACGCGGCTGCCCCCCCCACCCCGAGCCAACCAGGACGCTCTCGAAGACGAATCCAGAGCCGGCCTCCACCCCAAGGGACGCCCCCCCCGCCCCCCTCCGGGGAGAGAGAGAGAGAGCGAGAGAGCCACCGAGCGCTCGCCTCCGTCATCGCTTCACTCCGCCTCCCCTCCAGGCTCCGTCCCGCTTCTGTCCCTCCCCGCGCGGGTCCCCAAGGCCGTGGGGAGGGGAGGGAGGGGAGGGCTGACCCCCCCTAGGCGGCGCCTACCTGCCTACCTGCCCACCTGCCCCTGTCGTGCAGGTACCTGGGCAAGATTGGGCTGGCCGGAGGCGGGGGGGGGGTTGGCTGGCTCTCCTCGGAGGGGCTGAGCCCGGGCGGGCCCGGGGGGGGGGGGTAGGAAGGGGCTGGTCGTGTGGGGGGGCGGTGGTATGAGCCCCTGCCCGTCCCGAGCCCGCCTCGCCTGGCCCTCCAGCCTCGCCCTTCCTGGGCCCGGGCCTTCCAGGCGGGTCGGTGGGAGCGATGCCCCCGCGATGCCAGGGGGGCCTGGGCCGGGCAAGGGCGTTTGAAGGGCCCTCTTGAGCGCCATGGACGTGTCGGCCGCCGCGGAGACCCCGGAGGCTCCGGAGCCCCCCGGCTGCAAGGCACCCCCTCCTCCTCTTCCTCCTCTTCCTCCTCCTCCTCCTCCCTTGCTGGATGGCGAAGCCGGCGGCCGCCTGCCCAGCGACGGCTCCTCGCGGCCGCCTACTCGCAAGGGCTCCGCGGCGGCCAAGGGCGAGATGGCGCCGGCCCGCGTGGCCGAGCAGATCGTGGCCGCCGACCTGGCTTCGGCGGCGGCGGCGGCAGCGGCCGCCTCGTCTTCGGGGAGCCAAGAGGCCGGCGGCACCTTCGTGCAACGCCAACTGGGCGCCCTCCTCCAGCCGGCCGTCAACAAGTTCTCCCT